TGTGTTTGGGTTGGGCGGAGGGTGGCTGGTTTTGGCTTAGATCTGGTTGGGCCCATCGGGTGGTTTTGATGGGGTGGGGGGTTTCTCATAGCATGCTTAGCTGTTCTGAGAAGCCCCGTTTCTCTGAGAAAGGGATGTTTGTTGTGCCCAGCCGTTAATTCTCCCCTGCAACTTTGAGGTGAACTGCACGGTTCTGCTGTGTCCCCTGAGAAAACCTTGGTGAAAATCTAGGCACGTCTTTTCTTACAAGGACCCTGGCCCACTGTGTAGACTGGAGTGCAGGGTGCCTTTTCAGGCACTGGACTTTTTCACCACAGAGAATTCAATTGACTTGGGATGTTTATCTCTGCAGGGAGTATGTCGTTTTCTCGCTTTGTTTTAGGGAATATGCACAGCCACCTTTTTAAAAATAATGCCTGTTACCTCCCCCCCCTTTTTTTAAATGGGATATTAGATAAGCATGGCCAGGTAAACGTTACCCGGATAAAGCCAGTTATTTGTGTTCGAGATTTCAATTTGCAGTTCCCAGAAACCGACATATCTGCGTTGTTGGGTATGGAAATTTAAAATATACTGATGGGTACTGTGTAAAAGGCTCAGCTTTTTCTTCACTCCACCCCCACTAAACGTTACTGCTCGGTGTCTGTGATATTGCTACAGGTCCTCTCAAAGTGAAGTCTTAATACCTGTCTTGGGGGTGGCGGGGGAGGGAAGCACAGTTTCTTAGACAAGGTCCTAATGAAAACTAGGACCTTCTCCCAAGAAAAATGCACATGTGCTTGTTAAAGCGCTGTTTTTTACCATTCAAGAATGGTTGACAGTTGGCAATTTCATGTGGCTTAACCTGATATGTAATTTCCGGGAGTGTCCAGGGACCACTGAATAAGGTCCCTGTTTTGATGTTTGATGCTAGAAAAGAGTGGAACTGAAATGATGCCCCCTCCCGACAGTCTTGCAGTCTCCCCGTCTCTCAAAAGGAGTAAGTTTGAACATACAAAAGCCAAAGTTTTCTTTTATATGAGTTTAATCTTCCTGTCAATTTGGCAAGTGGGCCAAAGCAGAAATAAGATTCCCTATTCATGCAAAGGAGCATCATTTTAATGGGATCCTGAGGTCTCTCTCATCTGTAAGGAACACCTTAGAGTTTAGATCACTTCGGGGATGGTGCTTTTGCTAATTGAACCCTGAAGACTGGCTTTGCCAAGCTCTGACCTGTAGTATGTAGCATGCAGGGTGTCCGTCACATGCATAGTTAAGGATCAAGACATTTGACACCTGCCAGGTGCTCTCCAAGAGCAACACCACCATCCGGCCCAGTGTGCTCAAAGCAAGATGAGAAGTTCCAAAGTCTGCTGCCACTCCAGGGGACCCTAAAACCCCTCAGACTGTACTGGGGTCACGGATGGTCCAGCCAAGAGAGAGATCTGAGAATGAGACCACATCAGCCCTCTCACCCAAAGAATTGGGACCTTGGGCAGCCCAGGACCAGCCAGCGCTGAGGCTCCTCTGCTGCAGACTCCCAGTCCAGCTCCCTGGAGTAAGCTAGGCGGTCACAAAGCCAGTCTGACCCCTTTCCATTGATTGGCAACTGGAGAATGTGAGGAGGGAAGGTCTGAGTGTCCATCATTCTGCCCCAGGGAGGGAGCTCTCGTCAAACAAGTAAATATGGCACCTCTCTCCCCAGTAAAGGTAATAAAGGCCAGTTTTTAGATACTTTCTGGGGTGTAAATGACTACTGGTCACTGTGATTATTGTCTGATTTTTTCTTAGATTTGAAAGGAGTACCAAAGACAAAAAAATAGAAAGGTGCTCACCCTACAGATATTTATGGTGTACCAGGCACTGTTTTAGATGCCAGAGATATATATATCAGTGAACAAAACGCCCCTGCTCTTACAGAGCTTACACCCCGCAGAAAAAAAAAGACGTCATGGGGCCTATGGAAGCAATAAAGCAGGGTGAGGCTGGAAGGACCAATTTGTCTTGAGTTCAGGGGAGATTTCAAATAAGGTGCCATTTGAGCCATCACAGAAGGAGCCAGGCAGCTAGCTATCTGGCTGAGTGTTCCAGGTAGAGGCCATCACAAGTGCAGGGAGCCTCAGGCAGAAACTGTCGGGAGAAAGTGACAGAAGGTGAGTAGGGGCGCCCCTCCCTCCCTTCTCAGCTCTGCTGGCCTGTGGGCTTTTTTAAGAGTTTGCCTTTTACCTGAGCTGAGAAGCCTTTGGCAGGTGTGCGTAAGGAGGACGGGCTTGCTCTGGCTTCCATCTTAGATGGATTGGCCATGTGTAATGATTAATAGTGTCTCCTTTCACGCTTGGCCATGATCTGGTTTGGACAATAAATTATATGGTTGCCCTAATTTTAAAAGATTTGCATTCGCTGCTATATGGAAAATAGACTTCAGGTGGGCAAGGGTAGGCACAGGGAGATGAGTTGCTGTAATCCAGACAGGAGACGAAAATGCATTGGCATCGTAGCAGGAAAGATGGTGGGAAGTGGTCAGATCCTGATGTCTTGTGATGCTAGTGCTGACAGAATTTGCTAATGGTTTAGATTTGCAGTGGAAGAGAAGAGGGGAGTCAAAAATGGCTCCAAAGCTTTTGACCAGAGCTTCCTGGAATGGGAAGAAGAGACAGCAAAAAGTTCCCAGAAGAGCCCTAACCAGTTTGGCTCAGTGGATAGAGCATCGGCCTGTGGACTCAAGGGTCCCAGGTTCGATTCCTGTCAAGGGCATGTACCTTGGTTGCGGACACATCCCCAGTGGGGAGTGTGCAGGAGGCAGCTGATCGATGTTTCTCTCTCATCGATGTTCCTAACTCTCTATCCCTCCCCCTTTCTCTCTGTAAAAAAATCAATAAAATATATATTTTTAAAAAAAGTTCCCAGAAGAATAATGGAATCCTATGTCTAGAGTCACCAGGCTAATTTTTACTGACAGGAGAACTGGGAACAAGGAAAATTACCTGTTGTGATCCAGTTTTTAGTGTGTTATGGGGCAACTAGAGTGCTAAATGCATTGTGATTTTTTTAGCCTAATATTTCTGAGACTTGGGAATCCTGGAAAGAAGTATGTTTTACAGTTCTGCTGAAAATCATTGAGAGAAAGGATTAGTTTTTTCAGTTCCCATTAATTGTGAATAACTAGAGAGGAACACGAGAAATGATCATGAGACTGTTTCTTGTGGGATTGAAATGGGAATTAGCAGAAGTCGGGAAACTGGAAGGGACACAAGGTCATCACCAAGGATGAAACCTTCAGCATCCCTGTTGGAGTTGGTGACCCATCTCACAACCACATTTTAATTGCTTATCTGCCAAGCAGTGTCATAAGCTTCCTGAACACAAAGATTAAGAGAGCAGTAGGAGCAGGCTTACCCTTCAGCGGGGAGGTAAGTACCCCTCCTCCCCAAAATACTGTGCAATGCAAGAACTGCTGAGATGCTAGACATATAAAAGGTATAGAAGACAGGAAGAATGTGGGGACAGGCCTCATGGGGCTACCTTTGGGTGTCGGGATGACTGTACAGATTAGGGTGAGTTCTGAAAGTGACAAGTTTGCCAAATGAACAAGTAGAGGGAACGGTAGATGAGGCTGTACAGTTTTGTTTAAAACATTTGGAGATACTCAAATCTATCTGCATTAAAACCACTTAAAAGAAAGACATGAAGAATGTGCGTGATGGGCAACAACTAGGAATCGAGTGTGTGATCCTGCTTGAGTGGATGAGAACTTACTTCCAAACATCCCTTCCAGGCAGTAGTAGCCTTTTCAGTGGAGATGGCATGGTATGTGTCCTCTTTTCTGCTTCCCTTCCATCAGGGGTTGTCAGCCTCAGCAGTGTGGACATTTGGGGCTGGATGGTTCTTTGTTGTGTGGGGGTTCCCCTGCACTGTAGGATGTTCAGCATCCCTGCCCTCTTCCCACTAGATGTGAGTAGTGGCTCCCCCATTTTTCTCCAGGCATTGCCAGATGTTCCCTGGGGAGTAGTCACTCCCCACTGAGAGCCACGGCCTAACATCGAATGTAATGCCTAGTTCCCATGGTTGTCCCTCCATAACTCCTCTCGGATCCATGCCTTTCCGCCCATTTCTGCCACCCCTGTGGCATGCTGTTCTAGGTATATTTAGTGTCTGTTTACTCTTACACTGTAGGATATTAAATCATCAGAAAGCTCAGCCATCACATATCACTCTGCTCATATGTGCAGGGCTTACCATTCTCTATCCCATAATTACAGACTTCTTCAGGTATCCAAGTCCTTCCAGCCCCTGGCCCCGAACTGTCTCCAACCTCACTTCTCTGCTTTTTTACATTCTCTTTTCCAACCAAATTGGACTTAATAATTTGGGTTGGGGGCCCCAAGTGTTCCCAACCTCATGTTTTCTCACCCACTTGCTCTTTGCTTCATTGTTGGGGTGCCTCCAAGACAACCTTCGAATTCCCATAACTTCGAATTCCCAGCTGCATCGTGGAACCTTGAAGGTTCAGCTCAAATGCCGCATTCTCAGTGAAGGCTTACTCCCTCTTTTCCTCTCCCTTTCTTTGCGCCAAATCATCACAGTAACATTTATCGGTCCGTCTCTTGTCTACAAATAAGAGGTATGTTCTTTCTTCTTGGTACTCATCATATCTCCAAACATAAGCTGTAAAACTTTGTTGCCATGTTGATACTTTAAGACAGGGGTCCTCAAACTTTTTAAACAAGGGGCCAGTTCACTGTCCCTCAGACCGTTGGAGGGCCGGACTATAGTTTTAAAAAAAAACTATGAACAAATTCCTATGCGCACTGCACATATCTTATTTGGAAGTTAAAAAAACAAAACAGGAACAAATACAATATTTGTATTTGCATGTGGCCCGCGGGCCGTAGTTTGAGGACCCCTGCTCTAAGAAATGTCATCACTGTTAAGATACTCAAATTCTGAGACCGTCAATATTGTTATTGTATAACATTGGAGATTTTCAACATTTGTGTCTTTTCTTTTTTCTTTCTAGCCTGCTTATCAGAATCTGAGACAACGTGTTGACAACTTTGTTGCTAACCACTTAGCAACTCATACCTGGAGTCCCCACCTCAATAAGAACCAGCTAAGAAACAATATTAGACAACAAGTGCTCAAGTAAGTCCCATTTCCAAGGCGGGCTTGAAAATGCCACAATCTACGTTACCTGAAAGCAGAGACTTTCTGCAGGAGTCTGTTTACCTCTGCTAATTCTGTGTAGTTTGGTGCTTTTGTATTGTGATATAGTATGGTTTTAAAAGGCTCCAGTCACTTCACATTTCCCCCACAATTTTAATAGTCGGATTTCTCCGCAGCCCTTTGAAAATACTCAAGGAAGGGAATGACAATGTGACTTAGAAAAGTCCTAGATAGAATACTAATAGGTGGTAAATGCTGGCATATTCTGTACCATTTATTTTCACAACCATTTCCTTGGCCCTATAAAGAGAAGGTTTTATTATTTTTTCTCTAATGAGGACATTGAAAATCACTGAAATTAAAATACCTTTCCCTGATTTTTGAAGCCATATCTTCTATTTTCTGATACAGTCTGCCCCCTCCCCCCAGCCCATTTTATCTCTTGCATTTTAGTGTGATTTAAACTATTTTTTAGTGATGCTATTGCAAAAAAAAAAAAAAGAAGAACAAGAAAAGTACATTTAGACCTATCAGCCATTTTTGGTTGAACATAAGATAAAGAGAATGAGAAGAAATGAAATGTTTAGAGGAACAAAAAAGTCATATTCATTCCCCAGAAAAGCAGATTTGCAATATTATCTTGTTCTTAAATATAAATATTTGCCAAGACAAGAAATATTTGCCTTCTGTCCCTACTTCAGCCCCCGAAAAAGGTGACTTAAGTTATCTTCCCGCCTTGACAGATATTTACATTCCAGCACATCATTTAGAATGAAATCTTGCTTGAAAACAGTTAAGCAGATCAGTTTTATACCTGCCTCCTCTGAATTCCCTCCTGCCCCGTAGGAACCTGGCAAGCCTACCTAGTGTGCTCCTCTGCTGATAGTTGTCACCCACAGGAAGCCCCGCACGCACAGCTCACACTGACTCCAAGGCCCACTTAGCCACAGGTAACACTAGAACCAGGAGCCTGACTCCTGTCTCCAGGGAAGAAGGGAAGAGAGAAATTCAACAATAACTTTGTTGTCTGCGTTTTAAAAGATGTTTGAGGAACCTGTAAAGAGTCCAAATGAGATCAAAAGATGCCATTAGAGGCTGCATAACAGCTGTGGGGAAAAGTGAAAGCCTTTCTTGAAAAAGGTGAGACTGAAGGGGGTTTATTGGGTTGACAGGCCTGAAAGTTGACTCATTTCCAGGCATTTAGGGGAACAGTAACCAAGAAAGTAGGGGGTTCCTGAGGGGAGCAAGCTTCCCCAGTGTCCCTCACACTGACACAGCGCCTTGCTGAATACTGAGTGCTTTCACTCAACAATCTGCATAGCCGCCTCCCTTCCGCAAACAACTACATTTCTTTAAAAGCACATTCGCTTTCTTTGTCTTCAGATTGAGACTAAATGGAAGCCCAGTTTCCTGGAATTGCATTTACTTCCTAGCATACCAAACCTGTAAAGTAGGGAAGCAGCCGCTTATTTGTTCTTACGGGAACTAAACTCAGTCTCACCCATGTAAGACCAGGCACTTACCATTCTTGCTGTACCGCTGCGAGACGATGTTTCCACAGTATTGGTGTTTGGTGAGGGGTGCGGAGCACATCCGGAAGAGGTTCTGTGCTGAGGTTAGTATAGGAGTGCTCTGCTGGTGGGTGACGAGGGGAAGCAGCTGTCTCTTGGATAAGTTAGTACTTTCTAGCTGTTTTATTTATTTGTAATAAACTTCTCTTATTTAAATTCTATTAGTAAAGTTACGTTACTGGTAACATTTTAAAGCTTCCTGAAAGAAAGCTTTATTTAGCTGTGTCTAGCTAATGGTATAGGATGTACTGGCCACCATTAGTACAATTTCAAACAATTTTTCATCCTTATAGTTCCAGAAACACTCAGTTGACTGTTATGTTGAACCATCTACAGTTGTCATTTTTGTAGGACAACAATCTACTATCAAAAATTTGGGATGGTTCAGTTTAATAGCTAATCTGCAGACTCACTGCAGGGAAAACTTATTTTACCTATGTATTCATTTGTACAACAGAATCTAAAAATGCTGGATAGCTCTGAAATAATTATCTTAACTGAACAGGATTTAAAAGGAAAATAAGGAAATAGCTTTAATCAGGACAGTGCCAGCTGCTAGCATTTTGCTTTATCCTTGAACCTAGAGTGTGGTTTCCCTATAGTGAGGTAGCTGTCTCTAGCCATGCCTCTAGAGCAGTGGTTCTCAACCTTCTGGCCCTTTAAATACAGTTCCTCATGTTGTGACCCAACCATAAAATTATTTTCGTTGCTACTTCATAACTGTAATGTTGCTACTGTTATGAATCGTAATGTAAATACCTGATATGCAGGATGGTCTTAGGCGACCCCTGTGAAAGGGTCGTTCGACCACCACAGGTTGAGAACCGCTGCTCTAGAGTGAGCCCACTGGCAAGGGTGGGGTCATAAGCGCTGGCCTACAGATTTATTCACGGTCAGAGCTGACCACTGTGAGAGTGGACTAAAGTGGACAACGAACCAGAAAATAGGCAAACAAACTGAAGCAGTAATTTGGGATGGGTGGTTTTTATTTTTTATTGTATACCTTTATACTTGTGCCTTAAATGAAAACATCTTTATGATTGCTTGTCCTTGTTTTTTTCCCCACCTGCTACATTTTAAAGTCACCTCTAAGATGCATTGCAGGATTTTCAGTTTTTTATCTTAGAGCTTGAAAAAGCAGGTTACCTACTTTGTGCAGGGTTGACTCATTTTTCTCTATGGCCCACATAACACAGCATTATAGTATTACAGGCTGCAAGGTGCCTCAGGAAATGAAAATCAAATTCATCTTCCACTCCAGACAGGGTTTTACTCAAACCGGCATTTGAGTAGTAAGGAGAGACCCCTCCCTCATTCTGCAGGGAGAGCCTGAGGTCTAGCAGCTGGAAAGGACTGGCACCCGTGCTCTTCTGACAATTTCCAGGGAACTCCTCAAGCTCTTTTATTTTTGCTTAATTATGTTTTTATTGATTTTAGAGAAGAAGGGAGAGGGAGAGAGAGATGGAAATATCAATTATGAGAAAGAATCATTGATCAGCTGCACTCCCCCTACTGAGGATCGAGCCCGCAATCCAGGCATGTGCCCTGACCAGTGACCTCCTGTGCATGGGTCAACGCTCAACCAATGAGCGTCAAGCTCAAGCTCTTTTTTAGGAAGAAACAAGGCTTAAGTATGTTTCTTCAAATAAATTCACATCCTCTTATTTTGCTCACACACCCTTATGATTTTCTGCACATTTGGAACTTAGTTGCCCTGTTTGCTCTTCTGTCTCTTGTCAGCGATATTTCTTTAAGCTCTTTCTTCTCAACTCAAATGTCTTCTCCATTGTGAAGCATTCCCCAG